TTCCTCGTCATCGAATGTGTAGCTGTATGCTTAACAAAAGAAAAAAAACAAAATGGAAATATTCTCATTAATTGATTATTTTTGTGTGTGTGTTGTGACATTAATTGATTAAGCTGAAAAAACTTAAACTAATTAAAGTAATAATGAAAAATCATAATGCCAGTATTTTGATTGCTGTTTAATTGGAATAATTGAAAGCAATAATAATAAGAAACACTAATTTCCACTAGTTATTTTTCTGACATTAATCAATTTGATCATAATTTCACTTACTGGACAGTTGAAATCATTGAAACCAGTAATAATTGGAAACACAAGTTGGTTATTTTCATGATATTAATCAATTATTTTATGTAACAGTAATTGATATAATCAGTGCTCATAGAAAATCAGTTATATCAGTTGAGTTAATTGCACAGTAATTATTCTATATATATATCTTCTGAAGTAATATTTTACAAATGTTTCATTCAGTTACATGAATCTACAGATCGTCATAAACGTTGATCACCTAGAGATCAAGTGACATTTTTATCTAATGATACAAATTAATTAGTTCATTTATTGTATAGTTTTCAATTTTACTACTATTGTTTGTTGTTTTTATCATTACCCTTATGATAGTTTCTACAAATAGTAAGATATTCAACAACTTTGCATTTGAGCTATTATTCGAGTGGCATAATATCAACTTGATTGTAGAGATGATATTCAGCCAAATGACAATGCTGACTAGTCCTGTTTATGTTTGGTTGCATTCTGTTATCTATACTTGCATAAATGTTCAGTCATCTTTTATAACATATTAATGATTAGAAATTATAAATACATCTGTACCCATTTGTGATTCCTTCTTTTCTGCTATATTTACAGGTACAAAACAATTTTAGAATTGTTCACTTAATGTTAGAAATATCATATTCACAAGTTGCATACTTTTATGACATTTTTGTAACTTTTACCCACTACGAGTAGCACCAAAACAAAGTTTTGTGTGCTTTAGAAAACAAGTAATTTTTATTAAAATTCCATGGGTATTTATATTCTGTATGCTACTGCATGTGACGGGGAAAAAATACACACTGAGGTTTACCGTGTTTTACTCGACCAACTTACAATAAAAGGTTTGCATTTGGACTTTAAAAATTTGTTATATTGCAGTTTATTAAAGTATTCCAACTTATAGAGTCTGTCAGTTTTCTTTATGTGCAAAAGTGATCCACTAGTTCATTATTGGATATAAAAAGGGAAGATGATAGAAAGCTGTTAAGCCTATCAAGGTCAGCTTTCCAACAACCAACAGTCCATTGGACTGGCCCTGTATTTTAGAAGGAATGTTGACTATAATTCTGAATTTATTATGTGTATCTACATGGAATATGGCAGGATTTGAGTTAAATGTTCATGTCTGTTATACAGAAAAAATCAAATGCATTACAAAAGTATTTACACTCGAGATATGTCTGTGAATTGATTATGACAGTCTGATTCAAACTCTGATAAGTCAGAGCACAAGGTAATGTTTGTGTGAAGGCAAACAATATTTTTGTCAATTGTACAGTTTGCATATTGCATTTTTATAACCTCTAGGACCTCTGAAGTGCATATTTAAATTTTTTTTCAGGATCTCTTTATATTATAATGTATCTGGTATTTACTCTCTTTTTGCCATGAACTGTTGTTAAATCAGCAATGGTAGGGTAAGATTAATATTAGATAACTCTGACATCATACATAATACCATGTTGAATGCCACTCTGTTGAAGGTTGTAGTGTACTCATGATGAACCCCACTTGTGGGAATAGGGTTAAAGCATCAAACTCAAATGAAATGTAACCCTTCACTTGCATACCAATCTGAAAAAATACATACGAGTTTAAACGAAGTAAGCAAACCTTTGTAATATATATGAACCAAGAAACTACTAAACTATAATCAAGTATGCTTCTAGGTCCACTAAACCTAATATTGAAATAAACACATGCAAAATTTTAAAAGTAATAGACTATTTTTTCTTATTATGTGTAATATGATAAAATCAGTATACTAGTATTTCAAGCTGTTTTGTTCTCGGATAAGAGAAAAATTAAACATAGACTCTGGAATGCTTGCAAAGTCGAGGGTCAGAGAAAAGGAGCCTCATGGAGGGTGGCAGATTGTAGGCAAATGCCCTCCAACAATCCATCTCTACCCCACAAATCCCAACCAAGATACTAGGGAAAGTGAAGAAGCTGCCAACCAAACCAAAGTACATGCTACCAATGGTCCCAACGCATCATAAAATTGATGTGGTGATCGACGAGAGTCTTCCGACAAATGTTGGAAAGATAATAAATATCTTAGCACCGTATATATAGGGTGAGACAAATCCTAAAAAATTGTTATTTATTCAGGTTGACTACAGACTCTGTTCTAGAACCCCACATTTCCAGGAACAGGGTTATTATTTGAGAGTCTGAATACATGTCTACCTGGTAATGATAGGCTAAATTATATAGTTCTAACAAACATAGCATAGCTGTCCCTTCACGTAACTGAGAAGTAAACCTCCCTGCGTGAACCACAATATTGGTGGATGGAGGGAGAAATAAGTATTCACCCTCAGACCTTTCGGCCATCAAGGAAAGGGCAGGCTTAAAAGCAACCGTCATAGTACAGATAAAACTGTTAGTGAACGCTCTGTCGAGAAAAAGGGAAAATATTATCCAAATGAGGTGCTTATATACAGTACCAAGATAGAAGGTGCATTGATGTAGGTTGAGATTATCACGTGATAGATAATGCCAAGGGCAATTAAGTGGGGAATAAAAGACTGGAGCAAGCAAGAAAAATGCAGACCAATACTTTTAGATGGGCAAAGGAAGGAAGCCCTAGCAGTTAAGTAATAGCTGTAGTGAGAGAGGAAGTAAGTATTATTGGAAATACATTTTCGATTTAAGAAGAATGCTAACTTTTGATAAAGTACTTGCATAAATGTAACTTGAGAAAGTCTTCAAGTAGATGTATAGCTGAAGGAAAAGGAATTTTAAAAATCCATTGTTAAAAGTGTAAACAAGAATAATTGAAAAAATATACTACTAAGTAAAAAACATCTAACTAAATTTCAAAGACTGAACTTGCACTGATCAGAGTTTTCAGCTAGGAGATTATGTAAAAACAAAGTCATCAATGTAACGTGTTTGTTGAACTCTAAAGGTGTCTGTTTTCAATCAAACTATCTTGTTTTGTTAAACATTGTATTTAAGTACTATTTACATATTATACGGTACTATAGCAGAAAAATTCTAGTTGTTCAACTCCGTAAAGAACCATTTTCACTTTAAAACTAAAAGGTCACTAAATACAATTTTTAGCTGTGTAAAAAAAACTGCATGAAAAAAATATTTTGAATCCTCATTATAGGACAATCTTGATGTAGTTTTATTGAAATTGTTCATTTTACACCTTTTACACATTGTTCATTTTTCACATATAACTATTTTTTATTGTTTGCAAGAAACAAAATGTATTTAATAAATAATAAATAATTTAATAAGTCATTAAAAAACTTTCAGGCAAAAACCATATTCTGAAAATAAAAAATAACCACCAGTAATGAACTTGGAAACAGCCTGGTGATTCTGCTTTTGAAACTTCTTGGCATTATCACATAAACAAATGTTGATTTTGTATTGATAGCTATGTCCCTCTTTTTTTAAATTGTAGGTTGGTGTTCGAGGGAACACAATTGTTGTTTTAGCAGTTGAAAAAAAATCTGTTGCAAAACTCCAAGAGGAACGAACAGTCAGGAAAATTTGTTTGCTTGATGATCATGTTGTAATGACATTTGCTGGTAAGTCTTAGATTTAAACATATTTGTAATAAAAGAACTAGTTTGTTGCGGCCAACAGCTAAATTTCTGTACTTGTAACATGAACAAGTTAGTAAAAATTGCTTTGAACCTCTTACCACATTAAAATCTTGTTCCTCTTTCAATCAGCTTAATCAGTCTTTGTTTTTCGTATTTTAAATATTTCTGGTATTTACTTATTTTTACATGCAACTGATGTTTTTTATGCTTTCTTGATGCTATTATAGTAAATTTCAAAGTTTAGAAACATTTTGATTCATTGCTTAGAACGTGTTATTTCTTTCTGGTGCATCAATAAAGTAAGTAAGTATGAGGTAAATATTTTTTTAATTATGTTGGTAATTTTAGGGACTCTTAGTAAAATGATGTTCTTTTCATTAAGCAAAAAAAAATGTAAATAGTATTTCATAACCGCTTCTTTCTATTAGTGCCATGAAGAGCAAAGAGACTGTTATTTCTCCCCTTTTACTTGAACCTCTCCACCAGTATAGGTTTGGTGGGGAACCTTCCAATCTTCATAAAAACAGAAATTATAAAATAAAAATGTTCTTTGTTGAAATCGAGTTTTTGAGAAGTTATGTATATTAAAATGACACATGGATTTAAATTAATTCCTTACATGCCATTATCTTGCTGAAAGCAATACTTGTCACTAAATTTTAGTGACTTGAACTCTTTTTCTTTTTTTTTTTCAGGTGCCTAAAAAAATAATCAAGAAAGTGTCATTAAGATAGATTAATCTGTACTTCCAGAAGGTGTACTTTGTTTATAAACATGGTATATAATCATCTACTTTAAATGGTATTTTCAGTTTGGAAATTTCTTTGAATAAAATATGTTGTTGAAATAAAAAAATCAACATAATACAAATAAGATTGTTTTTAAGAATTACAGTAAACAATTATATAATTGGCTCTGATTAACAGTTGAGATTAAATCAATCTGTTGCTTTTTTTTAAACAAAAGCTGATTATTCTCAAAGAAGTATCGAACAGGTATTGTTAATAATCTAGTAGATATTTAGTTGGTAATAACATTTTTTAATAAATGCTATTTAAAGAGTAAACTGGCATGGCTATACCCATTTTGAAAAAAAGTCCATAATTTTTTAATCTACTGTACCCAGAATAAGTTTATATTCTTATAGAAATTTCTGTGCTTTTTTCCATGCATTGAAAGGAAATAAATAAAATATGGTCTCTGAAGAGAACTTTACCATCACAACCTCAGCCAACATATACGAACCTTTTTCTGTTTTCATCGGTTTACATACTATAAAATTTAATGACTTAGATGTCCATACCTAATTAGTATTACTATGGCATTAGGGTATCGTAATGATAAGGTGCTATGCTATTTTTAGAAAGTTTAAGTACAAGCTGAAAAATGTATACATTTGTAAGGAATTAAATTTTTTTAAAGTTAGTTAATTTTTTATTAAACACAAACATATGTACACTATCAGTTACATACTTTGTCACTTCAACAAGCAATTTAGTGTATTTATTTTGTTATATGTCTCAGTCATTTACTATTGTGATAAGAAAAAGTGAAACATGTAGGAATACCAATCAACCTGATTTTTTTCGTGATTTCTTATTCATTTCAGCTTAATTTGAATTGTATTTTTTGAATTTCCATACTATCTTAGAATACAATCAAGTTCAAAAGCAAATCTTGATAATTTTATGTTACGTAAGCAATACATGTTTGTAAATAAAAAGATATTGCAGTTAACTTGTCTTGACATTTTAATAATGATCAGAAGAGTTATGAATGGTGAATATTGTTTTACTATACATCATCTCATAGTTTTTTTACAGTGACTAGGCTTACAGTATTCCAGTCATGACTAAGACTTACAAAAGATTATTTTTTTCAGTTTTTATTTCTTATATGTGGTATGAAGTTTAATTTCTAATCTTTTTTTTTTCCAGAGATATTCATAATTAGCTCTTACATCACAAAAATTTGCCATATTGGATCATTTTTATATAAATAAAACTTGTTTTAGAAGCATTTAGTTTGGTTTCCTCATTTAGATATACTCACAGAAATGAAATTGAAACCTGGAAAACCCTCATCACTTCTAAAGCCATTGCTTAAAGAAATTCTAAATGACATTGACACTAAAAAAAATCTTTTGTAAAAACTAAGCCTTTTGTAAAAAGAATTAGATGAGAGTACAAAAATATAACTGGACAAGAAACATATTTTGGAATCTTAAAATCTCAAGATAAAGAGTGTTGAACCACCTGTTAGAGAAACTAAGATAAGTCCATAAGAGACAGAAGACATTAAAACTAGAGAAACAGTTGTGTCTTGTGGAAAAGTAATCAAATATAGATAAACAAAATAAATGAGTTATTTGACCAAAGAAATGTGAGGGCTACCATAGCGTGTGGTCTACACAGATACTATCATCATCATCACCAATTTAACTTTCGTTTATTTACAGTTGGCACCATTTATTATAAATAATGCTTTTAAACTAAAAGTACAAAATACCATTACTTAAAGGTTTTTGGGCATATATAATCAGAATGAATTAAATTCCAACAATCAAAACTAGCACAATTATAACCTAAATTTAAGGTAATATTCTGTTATAACACAAAATTTATTAAGTTATTACTATTTGCTGAAGAAAAATGTGGATAGATATAAATTATTTAGCAAGAAATTAGGTTTTAGAGAATCATTAAAATGGTGGTGATGATAGTATCTGTGTAGATCGCACGCTATAGTAGCACAGAAATGTGCCTATTGAAAACTTATTGGTAAGTTATGGCCTTTGGTAAAGATATGGATGTGTTAAGTCACCCTTTTAGGGACATTGATGTGTTCAATGTATTTTGTAAAGATTTGTCAATGTGACAAAAGACATACTGACATAAGTAGTCATTTTTGCAAGGATGCATTAATCTGTATTAAACACTGGCACTTTTGTTGAGTATATTTATTATGTTGGCTTAATCGAAACTACATGTTATCTGACAAAACTTTGATTTGTAGGTTTAACTGCAGATGCAAGGATATTAATAGACAGGGCAAGAGTGGAATGTCAAAGTCACAAGCTGACAGTGGAAGATCCAGTAACATTAGAATATATTACACGTCACATAGCTCAGTTGAAACAGGTATGTTCGAGTTTTGGTTTACTCTTATAACTCCAGGAATGATATAAACACTACATACTGTAGAAGTAGGGGGAATTAGTTGGCAATATCTTTACTGTAGTGCTTCATTTTCTTCTCTGTTCATTTTATATTTTCTCTGGCTTTTGATTACCGTACTGTAATTTCCAATAAATTACTCCAGGGCTTAATGCCAAAACTTAGAAAAAAATTGCAGGTAACTCTTTACACTAAAGAAACAAACAAACCAATAATTAGAGCTGTTCCAATAATGTGGTTTTAACATTTTTAATTTGAGGCATTATCTGATGTACTTGGTTCTAGAAATGAAATTGATTCCTATTAAAACTTGCTACTTTTTTTTCTACAAGCATCATTGTGCTGTGTAAATATATGAAAAACAATATTTCATTGAACTTTTACGTATAGTCATTCAAATGGACAAGTGCTGGATATTGCCTGGTAGTTAGTATGCATGAACTCTGAATCCGAAGGTTCATGTTTCATTATCTGTTGCTACAAAAAACTGCTTCACACTTCAGAACCAAGGGTACACTATAAGGGTGGCAGTCAATTCCCACTATTTGATTATAGTAGCAGTGGACACTTGTATTACATTCCCCATTTGTTTCATATGTCAGATGCATTGATTAATTTCTCAGATAATTTTAATTTATGTTCTTAATTAGTTTTCTCATTTAATTTTCAAATATGAAGTACATATTAAATCCCTCTGTCATTAGAAAATGTTAAAACTACAAATGTGTGATTTTTGTGCATGAGCATAAAATTAGTTTACAATAGAGAAAGTACTTGGCATTGTGATCAACCCTACAAAATTTAATATGTACACTTTCAGAATTTTACTTTTAAATATCTTGTTTTCAATTGTCATTAAATTTGTGAAATTTAGTTTCATTGTTCATACATCATACATGTGCATTCTGATGTTCTTATCAAATTAATAAAACTTAAAAATAATCAAGAACAAGAACACTGATTCAGTTTTTTTACAAATATTGAACATCCAAGACTGTAATAATTTAATTATAAAGTTTATATTTATTTTTACAATAACATAAACGTAGGAGACTTAACAAAGTATAGTTTTGGTCGTAAATATATACATATACTAAGATAAAATCCAATTTAGCCATAAGCATAGACACTTAACTACTTTCTGTTTGAAAAACGGTTTTCTTGGCCATAACCTTGTTACTTTACACCAGAAGGTGTATTTTTCATTAATGATTCTGTTGGTTCAAAACTTAATACTCGTCATCAGTTTCTAAATTTCACATAACTTCTAGATCCTTTTTCACCATAAATCAAAATGTAACTTAGTGTTGAGGGAAGAGCTTGTAACTAGATCACAGCTACAGGATTTGATTATTCACTAGACTACATTGATTTTTTTGGAAATAAAATTACAACTTTCATATTAATAGAAAATTGGGCAATGTTTTAGTTATAACAGATGTCAATGGGATAACTAAAGATACCACACCTACAAAAGTAGTTCATAAACTGTCGGAGCATATTTCTGTTTTTAGTGTAATTTATAATTATCTGTATAAGTAAGTAAAATAAAAATTTATCTCAGTTTTGGAGTCTGTCTTGTTTTCAAAACATAATTTAGAAAAAAATTGATAAAGCCCTATGCAATCTTTGGAATGAATTTTGGTTAGCAAAAGAAAAATTTAGTTGACTAAATGTTAAAATTCAGCATTACCTCATTGACATAAGATACAAGAAGAGAAGACAAAGTTTGGTCTAAGATTATAATTGTTATTTGGACAATTTTTTAAAGTTTGTTAATGATGTTGTGTGTTTTACTTTACAAATTAATCTATTGGTTGTATTAGTGGTGTGATTAGTTTATCTACATGTTGTTCCACAAGCGCTGCAGAGTGATGAAGTTAAAAAAGTATAGTTTTGCCGAATGACTGAGACGAGGATTTAGTATTACTAATGGTATAATTATGGGGACTATTATTCTCGTCTTTATTATATGTATTATTATTTTCACAACGTTTTGACCAGCGAATGACTGAGACGAGGATTTAGTATTACTAATGGTATAATTATGGGGACTATTATTCTCGTCTTTATTATATGTATTATTATTTTCACAACGTTTTGACCAGCGAATTCTCCGGCTGTTATCGGGTGTTATATCAGACATTTTTGTATGCATCATGACCAGAAAACTTTTTTTTATGTGGAATTACCAGGATTCGAACCCTCGAACAGGTGGATAGCCAAGTGGTTAAGAGTGCCTATATTCAGGATCATAGGTTTGGGGGTTCAATTCCTGGTCATTCCACAAAAAAAGCTTTCTGGTTGTGATGCATACAAAAATTTCTGATATAACACCTGACAACAGTCGGAGAAGTGACTGGTCGAAACGTTGTGAAAATAATAATACACATAATAAAGAGGAGAATAATTGTCCAAATAATTATACCATTAGTAATTAAAAAAGTATTACATTTATACAAGTTTGAAAGATCTGACTTACTTTGAGGGATCCATGTTTTATTTCTAGCGTTACACACAAAGTAATGGTAGACGACCCTTTGGAATATCTGCACTGATTGCTGGTTTTGATTATGACAACACACCTCATCTTTTTCAGTCTGATCCCTCGGGTGTTTACCATGAGTGGAAGGTAAGTTTAAAAAATTAACTCATGGGTGTTTACTATGAACACATGGTAAATTTTAAAAAAGTAACCTAAAGTTATTCATTATGAATAGGAGGTAAATTTTAGAAAATTTACCTATATGGGTTTATTATGAATGCATGGTAGGTGTCAATGGAAGATAAATTGCTAAATATGAACCTTCAAATTTAACCATAAATGGAAGGAACATTTTTTAAAAATTAATCTTATTGTCCAACCATGAATTGAAGATAAAGTTTCCAAAACATATTTTTTTCTGGTGCTTTTGTGACTGAATGATAAATTCCAAGTATACATTAAATGCTATGAAGAATGTAGAATGAGATACTGAACTGGAATGTTGAGTGTATAGAGTGGTAGAAAGATTACATTGTAGCAAGTTTTTGAATCTTATCATGAACCAGGATAGTTGTTCATAGAATAGGAATCACAAGGAATTGCACAAAACCCTATTAGAATGTTTGGGCAAAAAGCACCTTAAACAGTAAAGGTTCAGTTCAAACGACACTTTAAAACTATTGTTGACTGCTTAAACTGTACATATATAAAAATGCACAAAAAAGAAAACATGTTAGACTTACAAGGAAAATAAAATCTGCTCAAATTGGCCCATTTGTAATTATTATTATTCTCTTGCCAGCCTACAACAAAAATGGCTTGGTTTATTGCACCCAAACATTTTGTAGAATACCAAATAAGGTACTGTGAAAGTCATGGGGGGTATTGAAAAGTTGATTTCTTCTATATTTTACTTAAGCTAAAAAACATCATAATTCTAGTGTAATTGATGTTATCATTACCTCTTGGAGTTAGCTTTCTTTCAAATATCTGGTTGTCAGATATAAAATACTGTTTAGTGTACATAGTAATATTAATTAATTTATTTTGTGTTTGTAATACTCTGATGTCGAGGCTATCGAACATTGTGTTGCAATCCATTGATGTCAAGGCTATGGAGATTTCTAGAAGGCCTAAGTGATAGACATATAAGTAGCTGGGACCAGACGAGTGGAAAAAGAGAGAGAGAGTAAAACGTAAAGTCACAGGAATGAGAAGTGCAGTGAGAGAAAAGTTAGAAAAGGCAAAGTTACCCATCGTAGAAATGAAAGGCCTAACGGTTGATATGTTAGAGTGAGATTAATAGTTTGGAAGAGATAAGAAGAAGAATTTGTCTTGTCAAAGGGTATTCTAAGCTAGATGTGTGGACTTTGACAAAAAGCAGACAATTATTTGGAGCATGAAAAAGCAGATGATAATTGGAAGTACAGGATGCAACTGAGGTAACTTGTGTGACAGCGTAAGTTAACTATATATGGATAATTTTGCAATAAAAATAGTTCAGCTTGTCAACTGAATTCTAAATCAATTGAATAGGCCTAAGTGGACTTTTGACGAGAAAAAGAGAACTGTATAGTGTTTGAGATACAACTATGATCTCCATAGTGTAAATAATTTATTATATACATTCAACTTGTTTCCAGTATATATATATATATTATTTTAAAAACAAGTGGAGTGCGTGCTGTTCATTTATTGGCAACAAGTCACAGACACCTACTATAGAAGAATCCTTAGCCCAACACACCCATATACTTACATTACTATATATACTACTAAAAAGTAGTTCCTTACATTTTGTGAACCACAGTCAGGATTATACAGTGGTAAATGGCGGTAGAAAAAACAAGACAACAGATTTTGATAAATGGGTAGGAAGAGGAGAGCATCTTGGATTAAAAGATAGTGAACTATGAGAGTTTGTTAAACAACAACAAGAACTAAAGAGAGAGGAGTGACAACAGAAGAGAGGAAGAAAGACTGAAAGGAGAAATTGAGAGAAAAGAAAGACTGGAAATAGAGAGAGAGAGAGAGAGAATAAGAGCACAAATTGAGAAAGAAGAAAAAGAAAGAGAGGAGAGATTAAAATAGAGATACAGCTCAAATTGAGATTGCAAAGCTCACCCAATCGAAGGAAGAAGGACCCAAGAATGACAATGGAGTCAGGGCCAGCTGACCCAAGGTGCAGCAGTGAGAACAAATCTAGTATCTTATGATCAGATAACAGGCAATGTACGCCTGTGGGTGCTAATTGATGGGTCAGTAAGAAAGTTTCTCATAGCAAAAATATAGGTGAATACTCTATATTATGTAGGAGACCTTGAAGCCATGTGTATGAAGGCAACAATATACGACTTGGTGATTGGAAACATACCAGGTAGTAGAAATTTGGAGGAACTAGACAAAAAAGAAAATTGATGAAGCATCTGCAGTCACCACCAGAGCTCAAGAAAAGAAAAGCAAACAAGAAATCAAGCCCCTACAAGTGTCAAAAGGTGACATCTCCAATGTAGGTTTGCAGGAACTGAAGGAAGCACAGAAGAAATACCCTTCACTGCAGAAACTTTGGGACAGTGCCTGGGAGAAAGTCAAGCAGAAGACAAAAGGGAAAGATACTTATAAAATAGAGAACCAAAAGGGAGTGCTATACCATATCTATCAAGGCAGTTATACTGGGAAAATTAAACAGAATACCAGACTCAAGTGAGGAAGTTGGCTCATGAATCAATTGTGGAAGGACACTTAGGAACAAAGAAAATGCCAGACAGAATCACCAGTAACTTTTATTGGCCGGGAGTCATCGGAGATATAAATTCTGCAGGTCATGTTACACCTGCCAAAGGATGATACCTAGAGGAAAGGTAGTCAAGGTGCCATCAGGGGAGATGACTCTCATAAAAGAGCGATTCAACAGAGTAGCTCTGTACTTGCTTGGACCACTAGCATCTGTTTCTGACAAGGGCAACCGGTATGTGCTGACAGTAGTCGACTATGTGACATGTTATCCAGAAGCCATAGTACTGGTGAAGATAGAGACAGAGGTATTTTACAGAGTAGGTTTTCCAAGAGAAATCCTGAGTAACAGAGGGACCCAGTTTACTTCAGAACTGATGCAGGAATTGTGCAGACTCAGCAGCTTTTTACCACCCGATACAATCCTAGATGTAACGGACTTTGTGAGAGAGTCAGTGGTGTTTTAAAGAGCATACTAAAGAAGATGTGTCAAGAGAGACCATGTGACTGGGACAGGTACTAACAAGCAGTATTATTTGCTTATCGAGAAATCCCACAAGCAAGTATGGGATTCCCCCCCCCCTCGAATGACTATATGAAAGAACAGTACAAGATCCGATGCAAATATTAAAAGAGCTATGGACAGGAGAAGAGGAGTCACAGGTAACAAACACATACCAGTATGTGTTAGACCTCAGAAACTGACTGGAGGAGACCTATCAATTCGCTCGACAGAGCTTGTATGCTGCTCAAGGCACTCAGAAGCATTTCTATGAAAAGAAGGCCAAGGATCGCCGTTTCATGGTCAGATAGAAGGTCATAATTCTGCTGCCCACAGACCACAATAAACTTGTAGTGAAAAGGACCTTTTGAAGTACAGGAAGTACTCAACTGAATGGACTACAAGGTAAGTATGAATGGTAAAACCAAGATCTACCATGCCAATCTGTTGAAGAAGTATTTTGGGAAAGAAGAAGACCTAATGGGTGCAGCTATTGAAACAAAGATGGATGTTGCAGGTGTGGCCATCATAGATGCAGAACCGGAAGATAGTGACTTTGTTTTAGAAAATGAGGACCTAATGGATCTAAGAACACTAGGTGGAGATGAGACATACAAGGACATCAACATAAGTGAAGAACTGACTGGTAAGAAGAAGAAAGAGGAACAAATTCTACTATGTCAATATACAGATATATTAGGAAATACAGACCCCAGACAACACGAGATCAAGATGAAGAAAAGGGGTCCTGACAAGGTGAACATGTATTGGAGGCCCTGTGTGAGGAGAGACTGATAAAAGAACTGCAAATGTTAGTGTAGACTATATGAGAAGACTTAGTAGTATATGAACTGAAAACAGTCTTTGTATATAGTGAAAAAAAAAATTGTAAATATTTCTCTTAAACAGGGGCTTATTGTCAGATATGAAAGACTGTTTAGTGTACATAGTATTGTTAATTTATTTATTTTGTGTCTATAATTCATTGATATTGGGGCTATTGAATGTTGTGATTGCAATCCATTGATGTCAAGACTATGGATATTTCTAGAAGGCCTAAGTGATAGACATATTATAAATATCTGCAACCAGACGAGCAGAAACAAAGAAAGAGTAAAAAGTAAAGTCATGGGAAAGAGAAGTTCAGTGAGAGAAAAGTTAGAAAATGCAAAGTTAACCAATGTAGGATTGAAAGGCCTAACGGTTGATATGTTAGAGTGAGAATAGGTTTGAAAGAGATAAGGAGACTAATTTGTCTTGACAAAGCCAGTTGAACTATGATCTCCATAGTGTAAAGAATTTTTTATATATGTTCAGGTTGTTTCTAATATATATATATATATAATTTTAAGAAGTGGAGTGTGTTCTGTTTGTTTATTGTCAAATTTATTGCCAACAAGTCACAGACACCTACTGTAGAAGAATCCTTAGCCCAACACACCCATATGCTTATATTACTATATTTAATACTAAAAAGTAAGTTTCTGATACTGTTGTTCATTTAAAAAGCTTAAGTACAGGATGAAACAGGAATTATCAGCCAATAACAGATGAACATTAGATGACTGTAACATGTAGATAGATACTCGATGCTTTGTATTCTACACAATCGGTGTCTTTAAGGAGCCAACCCCTATATTATGTATGAAGTGAAAGGAATAAAATAGTAACTAGTTGATATGGTTCATGATGATTTACTGTAGCTATTGACTATTTGATCGCATTAGTTTGAGACGTAAAATGTTAAGCTGCAGCTGGAGATTGTTTTTAGAATATAGTGAGCATTTGAAGTTTCCGTGTAACTAAGTTCTCTATATTTAATGCATAGTAATGAGCAAATATATGCCTAGAATAAGAAACAACCCCCACTAATCATGCATAAAATTTTACCAGTTGAAAAGCAGCCTTTTCAAATAAAAAATATATACATCTAAAATTTCGCTTTAAAAGTTTTAAGGTAATTATTCAACAAATGTGTGTAATGAAATTTAATATTATGTGTATTGATTTTGCTATGTTTATGATCATTACAATGTATAAAGTTAGCTATTATATCAAGTAATCAAATTCCTATTTTGACTCCACCAAATATTGTTATAGGTAACAGCATAGAGACAAAATAAGGGTTTGTAGTTGAAGTAAATAATGTCTGCAGTATTACCAGCCTTATTTGCTTACTTTTTTTACGATTCCTATTAGCAGAATTTAAAATTCACTAGTTTTTTTTAATCTTTTTTATATACCATTAATGAAAGAAAGCTCACTTTCAGGTATCAGGATCGTATATTATTTGCAGAAAATGGAAAACTAGCTAATTGTAACTCCTGTACAATGTAGTTTCTCAATGATCTGTAGGTTTAGATAGCAGCACATGCTCCATCTGGTGTGTAACATAAGTTCCATTGAATGCGTATCATAATGTGAATATACATGGAGTTTGAAAAAGATCAAAGTATTAAAACTATTTAATTTCATAGAAAGCTAAGATTTCACCTTTTTGGGACGTCACACACACTAGCTTTATGAACTGAAATATGTTTAGTCTTCAAAAAAAGTCACACATGCAGAAAGTATGTATTTGTTCTCTTGTTTTTATTTAAAAGAATTGTAAATAAATTTTGTGGTGAGTTCCTGGCCAAAAGACAGATTATATTATTAATTTTGTTATATTTCATGTTTCCTTCATCAAGAGAAATATAATTTTTGGTTGACTCTACTAAAGTATGAAAATTGAAACATATTTTGTGGGTTTCAGGCTAATGCAACTGGTCGAAATGCTAAAACTGTTAGGGAGTACTTAGAGAAGAACTACAATGAGGAAGTAGCAAAGTCTGATGAAGCAACAATAAAGCTTGCTATAAAATCATTGTTAGAAGTAGTGCAAGGAAAGAATGTTGAGGTGGCTATCATGAGAAGGGGGCAATCCCTAAAGGTGAGTCAGGCTATGAAATGGAAAATCTGTTTCTTTTCATTATTGTATAGAAGTTGAATTGCTTATTAAAATTGTATTTACTCTTTAAAGTTAAATTTGTTTCTTGAAAAACAAAAAATGCATTTGAAAAAGTGTTGTGTTAGTTCTGCTGCTCCTCCTGTTCCATTGTGTGAAGCACATTCTGCAATTCTAGTAATAGCCACTTGAAAGATTGCTGGCTTCTTGGATAGAGTAGTTTCAGATTTTACAGTGCTCGTGCCAGCATTTAGACAATGCACATTTGTGTGTGTTTCAAATAGTGGTGTCTGTCCGGGCATTCATCTGTCTCCTGTTTGAAAAGCTGCACAAATCTCAGCATTCACTTTTGAAATGACGGGAGAACAGGCATGAATAATGTTGATGCCAAATTTTATTTTGCAAGCAGGATATCCTACACTAAATTGTTAGGAATTAATCACACTATCACTGACATTTAAAAAGTGTGACGTAACTTAAAGAATAAAAATGTAGATTTACCGTATGTTATTGTTGAGCACCTCTTAGCATGGCTGAAATGCTCAACAATTACTTTTACAGTGGGTGACATAAGTAGCTCAGAGTTTGGGCTCTGAGTGAAACCAAGAGGGCAACACAATTAACCTTTTTAAAGTCCGTGAAATGATTTAAATTTATATATTATCTCAAACTTTTCCAGTCACTAGGAATGGGTACTTTTGCTAGATTAACTTATGAAACTTTTCTTGTCACTGGGGAAGGGTACTTTTGCTTGTATATAACATACTGGATGTTTCACTAAATACAATTGTAGTGACTGAGAATATGTGCAAAAATGCTTTTAATTAACCTGTAGAATTTTACAACTGTCAGCAAATCACATGCTGAAGCAAAAACCAGTCTGTTATGCTTATCTTTACTATTACTAAAGCAATGCATGGTTTAATTATCATCACTCACAGAATGTTCGACATATTACTTAGCATTGGAAGGAATGTTTCCTTGTTCAAAAATACTGAGGACAACTGAAATAATTGTCTTTCATCAATATTGTTAATTACAATGTTTGATATACTAGCAGATAGTCTAAGAAAAATATACATATCTGACCTTGTAACTAGTTAGAGGATTTGTATAAATATGTAATTACTAGTTTTCAGGCCTGATTGTTTGATTATATTAGCACTGCAACAAATTAAATGCAACCTGTAATCTTCTACTGTCATGTATCTTTAGTTTTACTTGAATCATTGTACCCTGATGGTAGAAAATTTGGTTATACCTGATATTTGCTTGGACCTTCTGAGAATTTTGAAAAGTCTGATAACTTTGTTTTTGATATAGCTAGAGTCAATAAATAGACCCACTTGTAGGTTATAGAGTAGAAGACACATCATCACTGGGAAGCTTTTGGAGAAAAAAGGGCAAAAAATGAATTTGAGGCTAAATTTGTCTGTCTTATAGCAAAATAAGGCATACATTCACACGCACTTCCTTGACCTTTGTTTTACAAGTTAAAAGACAAGAATGTTTACTTTAGTTTTTACTAAAAAATAACATAAAAACTTAGGTTATTGAAAGTATGAAGCTATTTTACTTTTTAAAATTATTACAATGCCAACTTAAATAATTTTATTGAGTACCATTTTGTAATAAGTAACTCCTAAAAATTATTCATTTATTTTTACTGTTTTTAAACTATTAAATGAAAAATTACTACATTTCCCCACTTGACTTTTTTTTTAAATTATAAATCAGCTACATTAAGAAATCTTCTCATGTTCAAATTTTGTAACAGAGGGTCAAATTATCCACAGCCATGATACAATGCCTGTTTTTAACCAGAAAAATAGTAACATAATTTCTATAGGATAAAGAGAATTTGCTTAACTCGAGTAAAAGCTAATTTATTTTCTTATAATCTGCACCTTTTTTAAAGTTTCCGTGGTATATCTTATTACCTCTGCCAGATGGAGAGGTATTGTTTCGCTCCTGAGTGTGTGTGTGTGTGTATGTTTGAACAGTAAAATTGGAGAAGTTTTCATCTGATTTTGATTAAATTTGATGCAAACAATTGATTAACTTTTCCTAAATGTAGCTCAATGATCAAGATTATACTGAAGGTCAACCACTTTCATTATAATGGTAATAAATTGAAATAGAAAGATGATCTTGGCACCCAGACCTACATTTTTGAGGATGGGATTTGTTTGGTGTAAATTTTAGGATGGTTATTATAAAAAGTTAAAAATATTGCAGTACAGGGCAGAGATGGGTGGTTAATTGAATTGTATGGTGTTCTTGAAACCTTGGCAAACAAAAAGAAAAAGTTGGCATCTTGCACTGCTAGCCAGTTGCCTTTCCTTTAATCAAACGTTAAAAATCAGTGACAGTGGCAGATAGAATTAGTAGCTTTACAATAACAAAGACAGGGTGGTAGTAATATTTTGATTACTTGGATAATTGATATAATCAAAAATAGTAATAATTAGAAACCCTGATTTTGATTAGTTGATTATTTTCATAACAATCGTTTTCATCATAATTCCAATTAACTGATTAATTTACATAATACTAATCAATGTAATTGATTATATTGATCAAATCGCCCAGCTTTAGTGCAGGTTGAATTTTCTGAATGTTTTTCTTAGTTAGTAATCTCAAATTACACAATTTAAAAACACCATAAATTTTGCTTATGAGAAAATAACCATTTCTTTTTGTCTGCAATTCAGATGCTCGACTCTGAAGACATAGAAAAGTACACTGCAGAAATAGAAAAGGAAAAGGAGGAAGAGGCTGAGAAGAAGAAACAAAAGAAATGATCAGAACATTCAGTTGTTTCTTTCTAAAACTTAGTAGTTAATTTACCACTATGACAGATATTTGAAATAAAATGAGATTTTTGCGACTGGCAAAAAAAACTGATAATGCTGTCTTGTTCCAATTATAGTTGATTCTTTTCCATTATTAATTTTATTTCGTGGCATAGCACACACTAATAAATCATTTTATTTAATTGTTTAATAATAATAGATATGAAGCAAGTGGGATGTGTTTTAACAAATTTGTGATGTGTATTGCTAATAATATATATATATATACACACACATATATATAAAAACACATTCTTTATTTCCAGAATTTATTTTGAAGTTTTTTGGTTCCTTTTTCCTGTATGAGTTAGATATTTTAACTGTAATCTCCATCTTCAACTAGCTGTGATTTGTAAAGAGGAGAAATCATTCACTTTACAAAAGTTCAATTTCAAGTCTAAAAGCTTAGCCATGCTTGTAACATTTAAATTGTCGTTGCTCACTTCTACAAGCAGACTCATAATAACTAATGGGAGGCATTCAGTATCACTTTTACTTAATCTGAACCCCTCTTCCTAAAAGATGTTTGTCAATTCTATCTCCAAATAGGCCATGACTTCTCTTTCTCCACCCCTATATGTTGAAGCTATTACATTTGTTTCAAATACATCATGAAATTAGTTTAGGCAAGAGGAAAGTATACTGTTTAATTGGCTACCATCATTCATCACATCCCAACTTGAAAGTGGTGATTGATATGGTTGCCATTGCTACAAGGTGTATTGTGCCATAGACAGAGCAATGAACAAACTGTGTGCCATCTGTGAAATCAACTTAAAGATTTATTTTTAAAAAGTTTATACTGTATGTTTATTTTCAATTGCTATATCCACCTCCATGTCTTAGTTTATTGTTCTCCATCCAGCATGATTTAGTCTGTTAATTGTCTTACCTCTTTAAAAAAAAAAAAAACTGAACACATATTATTGAAAAGAAACACTAGTTAATGTTTGGTGCACTCTGCCGCAGTATTTCATCTGTTTTGCTGCTTGTTAATGTTGTTTGTGGTTAAAGAGCTATCTGTTCTTTTCACACCACAAGTATCAAAACTCGATTCTTGGGGTTATATGTCTATAAACTTGCCATTGAGCCAATGGAGGGGGGGTCTCCTAATTATTGCAATTTTTCAGATATCTGGCAACTCAAACACTAAAAATGTAAGGATAAAATAGTAATACCATATTTTAGCTATCTTTACTAACTTGGATTTGACTTACAATAAGCAAGCTTTTTTGTATTGTAATTAAACAACCCGTTCCAAAATAAAGGTAGGTGGAGTAATCTAAAATACAATCAAAAATTCAAACCCTGATTATAATTGTTCAATAATGATTGTTAAAAACTTTTGTGGAGCCCACGATTTCTAATAAATATACAAGTCTGCTTTTTTCTTATTTTAGTAGTTACAGATGTTAGCCAGTGACCTGCTCTGTCTGAAATGGTCTTAGGAACTAAAAAATTACATTTTATTTGAAAAGATTAAATCTCTAATAAATAACTTTCACTTTTAGTTATTAATCAGATGTTTGTGAGTGCTAATTCTACTGGGAATGATTACTTTTTTTGTATTATTTATAATGTTTTGTTCTATATCAGTTTGGTTAGTTACATGCACTGGTTACCAGAAACAGCAAGCACCTAATGAGGCTCCCTAGGGGATCAGTAGCAAGTCTGTAGGCTTATAAAACTAAAAATCAGTTTCAACACATTAGTGGGCAGTGCAGAGAAAGATCTTTGTTCTTAACATCAAACAAACAAGCTAAAGAGATAAAATAGATTCTATATTTACCTGTCTCACGCTGGGACAGTGGTAAGTCTACGGATTTACAATGCTAAACTTAGAAGTTCGATTCCATTCAGTGGACACAGCAGATAGTCCGATGTGGCTTTGCTATAAGAAAAATACAAGATGACTCTGATTCTAAATTTAATCAAATACCCAGAAATATTTTTAAAACTAGTCAGTCTGAGGTTGTTTGTTGTTGTTATTTCATTATGTAAAAGGTAATTTGCCAAATCTAAAAATAGTATGTTTTACTGAAAAAAAATTAATTTTATATATATTTCAATATAAACTGGCCTTTTTTGCTTTGAAAGATTATTTGAAATTAGGTGGTACACTTTACGTTTTGTGTGCCACATTCTAAACAAGCATAGAAACTAGGGTGGGCTAATAAACAAACCATTTACAAAATACATAAAACATCAGAGGGCATTGAACCTATGCAATTAAAAGTTGTCTTTGTGTAACTTATTTTGAAGTTCCAACATTCATTGAAGGTGTTGAAAATGCCAGTACCATAATACCAAATATTGACTGACAAAGCCATTGCAAAAAATGTCAAAAGGAATTGCCATTGTAACATATATTACAGAAACAGAGTTTTACTGTAAAACAACAATTGCAAATCATGATACCATTTGTCCACAAACTCTTTCTTTTCCTTAATTGAAAAATGTAACATATTTATATCATGAAATTAAAAAGTTGATTATTAAAGTAGTTATAAAACAAATAATGCTAGATATTTCGCTGTAATGTCTGATGAAACTACATCCCATAATAAAGAGCAGTTGTCCTTATAATCAAAGAAAGCAACATAAATTATTAATTTGGGGAATTTTGTAATTTGGTACACACTAAAGGCCAGCTGGTATTAAATATAAAGACCGTGGGTTACAGATAGAAAACCTGAGAGGTCAAGAGATAGGCCCTGCTGGATTTCTGCCAAACTAGAGAAGAAAGGCATGATACATAAAGACATTTTTACACTACTTACCTCTATTTCGTGAAGGCTTTGAAATTGATTGCATATTGGCAACACATCGATAATTACTCAGGAATTTGCTAGTGGGTACAAAACTCGAACTCTGGCCTGTTGGGGCAAATTACTTCCTTCTTTTGAATTAATTGTGATATTTATGTTTACAGTCTCCTTTTCCACTTACGAAGAATATTGTGAAACTAAAGAGTACATCAATCAAAACCTTGAAAACATAATCATATCAAACAGCTGCTTTCACATCACTGAAAACATGAAAACAAAATTTGAAAAAAGTACATCATGCAGTAAGAATGGTAATTGAAACTGATGTGATTACACCACAATGCTAAGCAGTATTGCTTCAAAAATGGTCCCCCAAGTGAGACAGCAGTAAGTCTTCGGATTTACAACGCTAAAATCAGGGGTTCGTATCCTTTCGGTGGACACAGCAGATAGTCTGATGTAGCTTTGCTATAAGAAAACACATTTCAGAAATGTGGCAATTCCTTTTCTAGGCTTGATTTAGAACCAACTACAGGAACAGCCCTTTATGCATGAATGTGCATCTCTTCTCACTTGTGCCTGCAGTAATGAGGAAGTAAATTCTAGACACTTCAGAAGCTATTACGTGCAGGCATTTTTAGTAAAGTTCCCTCTTCACCACCGCTGTCAGATAAAATCAACGGAAAGCTGGAAGCCGGCTTGTGTGGTAAATACAAAAACTAAACTTAGTGTAACTAAATATTTGTTTATTTGCTTCCTTCTGTTTGTTTGCCCTCCAGTGGCACAGCGGTATGTCTGCGGACTTATAACGCTGGAAACTGGTTTTCGATACCCGTGGTTGGCAGAGCACATATAGCCCATTGTGTAGCATTGTGCTTAACGTCAAACAAACAAACTGTTTGTTTATTTTTTATTTGCTTTTTGTGTTCGATTTATTCTTTACTTTAACAGTCCAGGATCACAGTTACAAGCCGTGTGACTCAGGGCTATGTGCTGGATCCTCTACTGTTTGTGATTCATATTAATGATATTGACACTGGAATGACTTACAAAATTTCGAAGTTTGCAGATGAAATTAAGATCATTGTAGCTAGCAATAGGGCTAATAGGATTTTGGGTAGCATCTATAGAAATATTGAATACAAGACAAGGGATAGTATTGTTTCACTGTATAGATCACTTGTAAGGCTGAGTACTGTGTACAGTCTTGGGTTTCCTTCCTCAATTGAATTGTTGGAGAAAGTTCAGAGAAGAGACACGAGGATGATACCTGGGATGTTGGGATTATCCTATGGGGAGAGACTAAAATCTCTAAACTTGTTTTCTCTGGAGAGGAGAAGGATCAGAGGGGATTTGATTGAAGTGTTTCAAATTATTAAGGGTATTGATAATGTAGATCCATCAAACTTTTTTGTGTTTAGCAGTGAAAACAATAAGACAAGGGGGCATAAATTTAAACTTTGGCACTGTAGAAGTCGTCTACAGTTTAAACAGTATTACTTTTCAAACAGAGTGGTTTGTTTTTGGAATGAGCTACCTTCAATGGTGGTGGAGGCAGAAAAATTAACTGAGTTCAAGAAAGATTGGACGAATACACGAGTAGTAAGTTGGAAGCTAGAAGGGTCATCCTTGATGGGCTAATAAGCTCCTTTTTGTTCCGTTAAAATTGTGTGAAGTTTCTGTTCTTGCAGTAATTTATGGCTACCTGTTGGATAACAGTGTACTTGAATACTACGTATGGCTATGAAAGTGACGGTCAAGTCCCGCATTCGGTCAGACATGAGTAGTCAGAGGCTTGGCGGTGGGTGGTGTTGAATAGATAATTTTCCCATAGTGTATCAATTCCAAATTAGAGATGACTATGTGTAGAGAGAGTATATAAGGTGTGTTACAATTTTCTTTTAAATTAATTAATTTATATTTACTTATTAACATTTTGAAAGGAATTTGTGGTGCTTTCAATTTACAATTTGATGTCGAGACTTTCAATGTTTTTTTCTTCTTAAAATGATTGGGGTAAAAGATCTAAGTCAGTGGACAAATAATACTCCTTGTTTAATACCTAAAAGTAATTTCCCTAAATACGATCCGCAGATTCCAGTAGACAATATCGCGCCAAAAATAGGTATGTGTGGGAACAGACTACACTTTCCACTTCTATATATTCTCTGTCTCCCAGTAGCACAGTGGTAGTTTTGAAGGCTTATAATGCTAAAAGCCAGTTTAAAAAAGTAGCCGTGGTGGGCACAACACAAATAGCATATTGTATAACGTTGCTCTTAACTGTCCCGGCCCGGCATGGCCAGGTGGTTAGGGCGCTCGACTCGTAATCTGCGGGTCGAATTCCCGTCCCACCAAACATGCTTGCCCTTTCAGTCGTGGGGGCGTTATAATGTGACGGTCAATCCCACTATTCGTTGGTAAAAGAGTAGCCCAAGAGTTGGCGGTGGGTGGTGATGACTAGCTGTCTTCCATCTAGTCTTACACTGCTAAATTAGGGACGGCTAGCGCAGATAGCCCTCGTGTAGCTTTGCGCGAAATTCAAAACAAACTTAACTGTCCCCCGGTGGGACAACGGTAAGTCTTCGGATTTATAACGTTAAAATCGGGGATTCGATTCCTCTCCGTGGACACAGCAGATAGGCTTTGCTATAAGAAAACACACTTAACTACAAACAAAGTGTAATTTCGAACTTTATAGTTTCAAAATTACTTTTTGAACTTTTTTACTGTGAAAATTTGTTTTTGTGTGTATTTTTTAAAGTCCTAATATGTTTGTAAGCACTATCACAAGCTTGCTGTTGCTTTTTTTATCATCTTGACTGTTTCAGTGGTCTTTGTTTTTATTTTTCTTATGGTATGTTTCGTGAGATAAAATGAATACACATAGCGCTCTAGTGATATACTGTTTCTTATAAATACAAAGACTGTAACAGAGAAAATACTGCAAACGGCTTTTTACTTCATTTCGCACTAAATTTAAACAGACAAAAGATTGGATATGCCATTACACATCATAACTAAAATTATTCAATGCACAAAAATATGTAATAAATTCTTCCTTACTAAATTAAAGAGTCGTGATCTTTATGGTAAACTAATGACGATTGTTATGGCGTGATCGCCTTTTCTAAGTTGATGAAACATGTTTATAATCAGTTACAGTTATCATAGGACATTAGTATCAGGCCTATTATATATTTAACACTCATGATGTTAGAAAAACACATAGGTTCAAGAAGTCTTGATGAAAATGAATTAAAACCCTATAACCCGAGCGCTTTCGAAAGGTGGATCTTTCTTTTTCAACTGTCCCTAAATGAATGTACCACCACGTGAGGAACATGAACCCAATTCAGGTAAGTATACTCTTTTATTTCCTAACATTAGTATTTTAGGTGATTCAATGCTTAAGTACCTACGCGAACACTTAACCTTTTTTAATGGATACCCAATTCTGTCAAAATCCATCACTGGAGCTAAATAAACGATGTCATAGCTATGATCATTTCTCTTCCCGAATCTGTCCGATTTTTGATAATTCACTTTGGTACTAACGACCTGGAACAATCCGATAAGACTGCTGAAGACTGTTTCTCAGAACTTGAAAACACAATATCACATATCTTCAGCATCAGACCACAGATTAAACTGGCTATCTCTAGTGTAATCTATAGACATGTGAACAGACACACTTCCACTGATTGCAACACAAAATACAGCACAATAATTAAACAACTCAAAACAAAATTCAACATTTTAATGAATTAACCAAACAGCTATGCAGACTTAACCCCAACTTGCCTTCATTAACCGCACAGACCTAATACCACTCACTAATTTTCTTGCACGAGATGGACTTCACCTCAACTTTTCTGGTATTTTTACCCTGGCCTCAAACTTCAAGTACTTTATTTCCCGAAGTATTCTCCCACTCTTGTTTTCCTCTTCTAAGCTCCCCCAATTATCTCCAATTCCTACTTCTAATAGTTTTCTACCCTTCCCTGTCAAAATTCTACATTTCTCCCTCTCTCAGTAGCTACAATCTTCACTCACAATAATACTTCTATCACTCAATCTACCCAATTAAAAACTCATTCACACTCTCAAAGTGACCCTTCAAGTTCTGCTAGAGGACTAAACACAAATCACACTTCCCCAAAACATCACATTCCACAAATGGCAACATTCGTTCTTCTTATGCTTCTGTTGTTCGTTTTTGTTTACCCAGAAACCCTTCCACTCCCTTATCTCCAAAATCACAACAACTCACCACCAGTGTAACCGCTACATGTTCCACACTACAGTCTTCACCAGTCGATCAGTCTCTTGTAGAATTACCTTCATTAGAACACAGTAGTCTTTCATCTGTTAGCATAAACTCTCAGAACGACAGCAATGCACTCCACACTCTGAAGAAGATAGTTACTCCCCTTATCCTTCCCTCAAACGTAACCATCCTCTATCTCACGATTACAACGACGTCCTCACACCAATATCTGTCAACATTCAACGTGAACCAGAAAACAACTATTTTAAAAACTTAGAAAACTCACTGAGAAAAGCACAAAACATTGTCAAGATGTCAAGTTGCTAGTACCTAACATAAAAAAACGAAACATGCCGCAATCTTTCGCGTTAAAAGCACCAATAACAATAGAAGCGCATGATCAGAACTTCTGCAACAAATGGCAACATATCCTTAAAAGCACCTCCTTAGAACTCATGAATATCACTAAAACATTTTGTCAAAATTCTGTCGATATATTTAATACTATATTTTATATTCAGTCCCTTAGGGTTTTTCAAAAAGAAGAAGAGTGCATATTGATATTTCGACCACACTATATTTGCCACATACAGTTATAATAAACCAACAGCAGTAATAAGATTATGCCTGTAAACTATTTGTAGTAATTTTGTTTTTAGTAGCCAAAGGAATCTTTACCAACTATCATAGTCATTACGGGATGTTTGTCGTCTGATTCGTGATATGAAATGAAAAGCGGTAAGAAAATACAATAAAATCATTAAGCCAAATTTAATTTCTTCTTTTTCTTTTTTAGGCTCGTGACCTTACGTATAGAATGAGATTTTCTAGTACTTTGGTGTAGAAATATGGCGACTGTAGCTCACAGATTAGGTCATCATCGTGTCCTCTTGCGGAGAGCTTTTCCTTCGCCTTCAATTTTTAATCAAGTAAGAAGGATTAGTTACTTTAAAGATAGAATAAGTTTGAAATTTAATTTATAACAATAATTGATTGTATTATTTCAGTTGAAAACGATTCACAGATGCTGTGTAAATAAATTACCGGTATGGCGGTAGTACTAGCTGTGCTACTTCAGTATTTGGTGTGGGGTAGGCTACTGCCAACCAACGAGCTAGGTTTACAATAACTGAATAAGAATAACCTTCGCATTCAGACAGGTCGAACGCATAGTACTTAATAACTGGATAAACTGCGTGAATGAGGAGCATGGAGAACACAATGTTAGTGGTTATTTGTTCGTTGCTCTTAATTTGGCGAAATTGAAATAGAATTCCCCAGAAATGCAAAGTTTTTAGATCGTTTTACTATACATTTCAGATTTTTATCAAAAATTAATTATGACTTGAATCTGAAAATTGTGTTCTAACTTCTACTTTTAGTGTGGTTATGAAAGCATTATAACATTCAAAAAGTTTAGTAGAATGATGAAAGAGGCCTATATTTGTAGGCAAATGCAACATGTCTCCACCACACAATCCCAACATGGCCAATTTTAACACCAGAAAAATCGAAAACTGTCCATATCACTACTTGGGACCTGCAAGAAGGTACCTTTGTACCAAATCCCATGAAAGTTGATTGACATACACATGAATAGCTCATAACAAAACCCAAAATGTACTTTCCTTGCTGAAAAATTGAGCAAAATGCACAATTTCCAAAATTGTCTATATATCTGTTTGAGACATGTGAAAAGTATCTTAGTACCAATCCCATGTAAATTGGTTAAAACAAAGCTAAATAACTGACCCAAGTCCCTAAAATTATGGATTTATTTAACCTTTTGAGCCCCTCTCTAAAATGACCAAAAATGGGCATATTCCACAATTTTGTATTATATGTATGGAATCTGTAAAAAAGTATCTTTGTATCAAATCTCATGTAAATTGGTCAAAATACAGTGGAGTAATTATTAAAAACCTTATAATTACTTTCTGTGGCATCTTGACCCAATAGTAATTATTAAGAATGGGCAAGCCCATCATTTTTGTTTGTCATTGTGTGGAACCTGAAGAAAATAATATTTGTACTAAATCCCACTTAAATTGGTCAAAATATGGCTGAGTAATTGACCAAAAACCCAAAACGTATGCTTTTTGTGGGCTCTTACCCACCTAAAAAGACTCAAAATGGGAAAATCCAACATTTTTGTATGTCAATGTGTTGGATATATGAAAATTTATATTTCTGCCAATTTTCATCTTGGTTGGTTTAAATATGACTTCACAGGAACCCAAAATTAACATTTTTGGGTTGTTTAACCTTTGTCCCCATAAAATCCTTAAAAAGGCTTAAATCAAAGAAATGAAAAAGGTGTCTTGGCATATTGGACCAAGTTATAAACCTATCAAGTTTAAAGTCAATCCTCCAAGAAATGAAGGAATGGTGCTAGTAGTGTTATATCCAGCAAGAAAAATGGGCATTAAATAAAAGTTTTTTACACCCATATCAGCTGTTTATTCTATATGTAAACAACTTGTGCCAAATGGATTATAATTAATGGATCATAATGGCAGCAGGGTGCAGCAATTGGTCAAAGGATAGGTCAAAAAGGGAAGCAGGGCAGAGCAAAAAAGTGGCAAGGTGGCCCACCCCGCTATTGTGCTTTTGATGTAACTCTAGCTAGAGATATTTTAGCACAGATGCATTATGTCTTATAATGTATACATTGTCTTTACTTATGATGAAAACAGTTCTACATGTTGAAAGCTTTAGAGTTTTATCATTTTGTTTTTGTAATATATATACCGTATTTTTCGGTGTATAAGACACACTTTTTTACCCCAAAATTTGATGTCAAAATCTACTTGCATCCTAGACACCAAAGGTATGAATAATATACACAACCCATGTGTAAATATATTTAAATAGGCATGCATAGTTTAGTTCAATTGAATGTGTTATTTATAACAATAGTAGTTGTTTTTTTTTTCTTTTAAAAACATAACTATTTATAATGCTCCCTAAATAATAAAAAAATAAATTAAAGTGAAAGCAGTGAAGATTTTGTAGGTTTTGAACCAAACTAAATAACAGTAAACCTTTGTTTGATTTACGGTATTTTCTTATTTTGAAGTTTTGAGCGCTTTTGTGTTTAGAACA